AAGTGTCCATCAGGATCTATTTGCATAACCCAACTGTTAGATATTTTGTTAACAAAAGGCAATTTTGCCTTCATGAATTATAATAAATATTGTAATTAAAACATGCAATTAAAATATGTGTAACAGATATATAATTATGGGGAACGTTACAAAATTTATGACGAACGTTACAGAATTAATTACGGGTTTTGTAACGTCTTTTCCAACCCTATATATATATATATCCATATGTTGAGCTAAAAATAACAAGGAAAATATACAACAAGTTTCTCTTGTTTTTCTTCTCTCCCCTACATATTATTTTCATCTACATTTTAGTTTTATTTTATGGGCAACTTCCTTCATCTGAGCTGAAGCTCTGCACTCTCGCCCGAGTGTAGAGGCCGGCCGTTTCCGGGGGTTTTTACCGCTAGGGGGAGGGAACATCTGCGTAGGGGGAGGGAACATCTGCGTCAGGGCGATAGGCGAGTTCTCAATCTTCTAGGGCAGTGAATACACGACTGCTCCCGTTCAGGCCAGTTTTAATTGTTTAATTTTTTGGATTTATCTGCATGCTATAATCTTAATTATTTGATAATTTTCCAACAATCTAGAAGATTGATAAGATAGTTATTAAGAATTAGTTTGAAATTACTGTTCATCAGAAAATTCTATATTACTGTTCATAAAACTGCTAATTACTTTAATTATTTGTTGCTTATTTAATTATTTATTCTATGTTGAATTTTCTTGCATGAGTTATACCTTTCTGTGGTGAAAGAATTCATTTGATGATATCTTTGAGCTTATTTCCTGCTTTAAGTTTTGTATTCTGATTTTGAATCCTTCAAAAAAAAAATTCCCTGTCTCTGAGATGATGATGATTTACCCTCTTCATTGAGAAAGAAATCAGGGAAAGCATCAACTTGAAAACCAGTCTAGTACAACATGCTCTCATATTATAAATCTAGTTTCCACAATTTCAAAACTGTTTCTTGTAAACTGTGTGGTTAAAATAAGAAAGCATATTTTGTTGAATATTCTTATTTTTTAAACCACATTACAGAGAATTTATATGCAGTTATTTTTTTTCTAGAGAATTTATTTGCTTATTATTAATTTGTTGCAGTTTTATATATTAAAAAAGGATAATGGTTACCGTTCATCCAAATCAGTTACTGTTCACCCGAGATATAAATGTTCAAAGGATTAATTAGTTGTTGATTAAAATTCAGGAAAACCGTTATTAAAAAAAAATGTTACTGTTCATTTTATTTAAAAAGTTACTGTTCATGTAAACAGTTTTGGTTTTTTTTTAAATAAAAAATATTTAATAATTAAAAAATTATAGCTAAATATTTCTGTTAATTTAATTTAACAGTTAATTACATTTTTCTTATAGTTTTTTTATAATCAATAATTATTGCAAGTTACGAATATCAAAGAACCTTTATTGGTTTCTAAAAGCCTAGTTTATATTTGTTAGAATCATCTAAAACCTACCATTATCCCCTTGTGCTAGTGAATATGCACGCATTTGAAACATGCTATAAATTTGCAGCAGTGTACGTTTTTATTCTTGAAAATTTCATATGCATGGTTTTGACAAGAATAAAGTGAACAAACTCTGGATGTATAGACGATTTGAAATATCTGGATTTTTTCATGGTTTAATGCTTTCATTTCTTTAACCTATCAATATGGTACCTTCTATTATTAATAATTCCATACTTTGGAGTGCTTATGCATCTAATAAGCTTAGTACAGAAGGTGGTAAAAGTGAATGCAGATTTGTTCAGCAACTTAAGTGGCAGTTGTCTGCAGCAGATGAGTTTTTACTCTCAAGACATGAAAATCATGAGGTTCGAACATCAATAGGTAAACCCCTCCTCGGCCTTATCCAACATATGTTTGCAGTATAGTTGCTAGGCAAATTAAATGCTTGCAGGAAATAATTTAAAGTTTCTATATACTGTTAAGGAACAAAAACTCATTGAGTGAACCGATTCAAGTTTTCTTGGATTAGTTGGTGTCTAAGGCAAGGTTTAAGGGTTGCGTAACGCGCTCTGCAAGGAACGAGGTACTTAATTGATCTTTGATCAACCTCTATTACTATCCTTACCTGGCTAACTACCCGGGTAAAACTTTAATCTTTTCACTTTAGGAGTTTTTGGTTTGGAATAAGAGGACCGGGAATTATGTGAAAATTCATATGCATTTATTTAATTACGCTTCGTGCATCATATTTTACCTAATGATAAATAATCAATATATGAGTGAACAAATCAAAGAGGTGCATTTTTTAAAATTCTATTTTATATGGTGGATTATATTTCAAATCTTCAAATGTAAAGTCCATCTCTTTTTATTGCATTATGATGGATATTGTTCAAATCTTCAAATGTAAAGTTCATCTCTTTTATTGCATCATGATGGATATTGTAATAAATGTTCATATGTCTTCTTATATAACTTGCATTTGTTACATGATTAATTACAAGGTTTTATGCAAGAATGCACTTGTAAAATTTAAAGCACGTATGTAAAAATATTATTATTATTATTATTTGTATAAGAGGTGGTACTAGAAAATGGCAACATAAATTTGGAAGGTCTCTTTTGTAGACAATCAATTTAAATTTGGAAGGTCTCATTTGTAGGCAACCGATTTAAATTTGAAAGGTCTCCTTTGTAGGCAACCAATTTGTAACCTCTTATAATAGAAGAATTTTAAAAATTTTATGCATTTGAATTATGAAGTATGAAATATATTTTAAGCTGCGAAAATATTTTTTAAGATATGAAATCCTATTATGCTCTGCATGTATCTATTATTAATTTCATTCATGTATGTGCATATGCATAACTGCAGAATTTTTAGTTCCACATTAGTTTGAAATGTTCAGATATTAAGGTCAATCTCTTCAGACATAGACTATGATCTTTTATGATCATAGATCATGACCTAATGTCAATTTCAAACAATATGATGGACTAATTACAAAATAAGAACTTGATAAATAAATACAACGCCTGCTAGGCAAAGTTATGATTCTAGACTTTGTAAAGTCTGTGAAAAGAATCTTGATGACCCTTTGACTAAGGGATTATCCAGGAGTGTGGTTCTGGATTCATCGAGGGAGATGGGGTTAAGCCCATAGATGAGGTCACTGACAGCGGCAACCCAACCCTTATTTGGAGACGTAGTCCCAATGTCGGTTCAATGTGGTAGAAACAAGCTGGACAAGTGACTCTCGTGTGGAGCATCGACCTAGATATATTTATATATCATTATGTAGCATTTGCTACTACTCCTTCTCTATGATGACGATGCTCTTATGATACAGCTGGCTAGGCTGAGTTTTACTCTTAATAAGTCCAACGCGTGTATTGTGGGGGGTATTAAATAAATAGCTGTAGTACCATTTGAGGACTTACCTACGTGAGAGGAACCGTGATGGCCGCGGTTAGGGGAGGCTGGGCTAACCCATAGAAACTCTCATGAGTCGGTTTATTGTGAGCATGGCTTTTAACGCTCAACCCGCTTTGCTCAATAGATGAAGCGTATTGTGTATGTTTTTATCAATACCTGATTAAAGGGGCCTAATTCAAGGCCTAGTCCATTATGTCCCTCAGGTGGCGATGAACTCACTAAGAAAAGGTTCAAAGCCGAAAGCTACCTCTCCCAAATTTACGATACGAAAGGTTGCCCAACCTATATTTGTTTTATGATTTCTTGATTTATTTATTAATTTCTGAGTCTTCAGTCAATATTGCCTTTTGGGGGGGACTGTTAGATATTTTGTTAACAAAAGGCAATTTTGCCTTCATGAATTATAATAAATATTGTAATTAAAACATGCAATTAAAATATGTGTAACGGATATATAATTATGGGGAACGTTACAAAATTTATGACGAACGTTACAGAATTAATTACGGGTTTTGTAACGTCTTTTCCAACCATATATATATATATATCCATATGTTGAGCTAAAAATAACAAGGAAAATATACAACAAGATTCTCTTGTTTTTCTTCTCTCCCCTACATATTATTTTCATCTACATTTTAGTTTTATTTTATGGGCAGCTTCCTTCATCTGAACTGAAGCTCTGCACTCTCGCCCGAGTGTAGAGGCCGGCCGTTTCCGGGGGTTTTTACTGCTAGGGGGGAGGGAACCATCTGCGCCAGGGCGATAGGCGAGTTCTCAATCTTCTAGGACAGTGAATACACGACTGCTCCCGTTCAGGCCAGTTTTAATTGTTTAATTTTTTGGATTTATCTGCATGCTATAATCTTAATTATTTGATAATTTTCCAACAACCCAACTAGGAGTGGAAATGAACCAAATAATTAACAAATAGTTCGATAATTGTTTGAATAAGTATTCGCTCATATTCGATTCGGTAGTTCATTTATCACTAAACAAATATTTTTTTGTATTCGAGTTTACTAACGAATAGAATTTAACCAGGTGTATATTCGTTCGTTTGTCTGTTAAATATTTGTTTAAATTTTGATCACAACTTATTACTTGTATTATTGCACATATGGTGTCATATTTTTAACCAACATACCATTTCTACTTAAGTTTTATATACTAATTTTAAGACTTAAATAATCTTAAATATATTTTCTAATTAAAATTTTGATTTAAATATATATATATATCATATATTATAAAGGAATAAATTTTATTTATGAATTCTAATACTATTTGAAAATAGAATTCTTTAGCGGAATAAATATACTTTGAAATTCGATAAGTATTCGTGAATATTCATGAATATTTATCAAATACCAAGTATTCGAGTTCGGATTCAAAAAACTAGATATATGAATATTAGAGTCCACATTCGAATTCGATAATTTTAAACAAATACAAATACGAACACCTTAGTATTCGATTCGATTCGATCGTTTACCACCCCTAAACCCAACCAACGACGGCCCAGAAAAGGAAAACTACATGACGAACCCACAAAGCAATTGTGACTTAAATGACTAAAATACCCCTATTAGGGGTAGAGAAACACGGATCTCTCTCCAAGAAAGTAATTTTTTTTCTCGTTGTTCGTCTCGCAGCTCGAGGGCTGCGAATACTAACGATGGCATCTTCTTCAGATTTCTCCGCCGCCGAGTAATTTTCCTTTCTAAACATTTCAATTTGGCAATTAAACCCCCAAAAATTTCTTCTTTTTTAAAATTTCGCCTTCCTGCAGGAGGGAAGCAGCGCTGAGGAGGCAGCAGCAGAGGAAAGGAGCCCCAGTCAAATTCCTAATTCCTCTAATTTACGCTCCGGCTCTTCCCTTGAGTAGGTTTTCTTAAAATTTGAAACTTTTCTTTACAAATTCAACCATGTATATGGTTTTTTTTTTGTGTGGCAAATTTATGATTAATTGTTGTGATATACTTTTAGTTCGAATTGTTCTGAGGCGTAACCCGGTGGTTAGGGATCGGTTATTCTATGGAGTTTTAGCTGGTGCTTTTGCTCATGGCGCCTACTTGATGTATCCTTTTCGGTTTTTGCTTGATTTTTTTTTTGTGAATTTCTTAACTTTGTCATTTTTTGTGTTGCAAAGTTTGATTGTGATTGGGTTTTCCATCTGTTCATTTTTTTTATTTATTGATCTTGCAATTTAGGATGTATAACTTGATGTAGTTTGGCTTATGAGTTTGTGAGTTTAACGTTTGGGTGTCTACGGTTTGCTAAAATTAGCACTTTGAAGCCTCCCCAATTCTGATTTGACAAGGATTTCAAAAGTCCTCATTGATTGACACCAGCTGATCTACATACAGGTGGAAAAGAGAAGGGTTGCGTCAACTACGCTCCTCACTTAAATTTTAGGAATTAAACTAAAACTAGCTATCAAAACAAAGAATCTGATATCCTTGAATCGGATTTCTTCCATCTACAGAAATTGGTCAATAAGTGACATTTACCTATTCTGATATTGTATATACAAAACCCCTTTCATGTTGTTACTTAATTAAGGTCCAACTTTTTAAAACATTTATGACATTGAACTGCTAGGCAAACATTCATAGATATAATTATCGTTAAAACATTAGGCGGAACTCTAAAAAATATTTATTGGCATACGATAAATGTGTGCATTTTATACATTTGCAGTTTGCACTACAATGCATCGACAATTGTTGTCGGCGTATCATCTTCTAGTGAGTAACTGAATATAATGTCAGCTTTTTCTACTGTAAAATATGATTTGTGTAATGTGAATATATAATGAAACTTTAATCTTGACACAGTCTCCTTTAAAATCGTATTCTTTTAACTAGGGTGCTAATGCGAGGAAAGAAAATTAAAATATTAGATAAAGAAGTCTAATAAGGGCTGGAGATGTGTTAGCAAAATATTGGATGATTGTACAGATAAGGTAGATCGTATGCATGAGAAATGTCAGATACATATGAAGGTGATTCAACATGGTATTATGTCTATACATGTTATGCTGACATGGCTTCACCTTGGATGTATCTGTTGCTCAGTTTATGGAAACAAGTAGTTACCCTCACAACATGGCTTCACCTTGTCTATACTTTCTTTTCTTGTTGATTTTCAAACTCCGGGTTCATGTCTGCTTGACTTTGTATATGGGCAGTTATAAAATTTACCTCTTTTTTCTTTGTGTGTGTGTGTGTTTGTTTGTGTGGAAACTATTCTGCCTTTCTTTGGAGTAACTATTTAAGTATTATCAATTCTGTAAGCTTCCCACTAACAAATTTTTCTACACTAGTTTCTGTGGGAGCTATTTTCCGACAATAGTTGTCAATAAATATCCTTACTGACCTCCCTTATAGAAGGTTAACTGCCTTGTTCTTACCATGCATGGCTGATGGTGTTATGTGGTGGAAGTCTCATAGCTTGTAGCTTTTGCAAGAAATTATTGATTTAAAGGTCTTTAGAGTCTATTCTTGACAAGCTTAAAAGTAAGTGCTTCTTGTGCATCTCCAGTTGTTAATTCCCAGTTAAAAAATTCCTAGAATTCTTATGTCTTTTCTTGTTTATTTTTTGCCATATTCTTGGCCTCAATTGCAAGAAACCATTTGAACTCTTCACTTTCCTTGCACATTATAACTACTTTTAATGTTTTCCCCTGTTCCCGGACTCATGGAGGAATCTTTGTAGGGACCAAAGAAACCTGTGTGTGGGGGTGGGGTGGGGTTTTCTTTGTTTTGGTTTGGTTTTTTTTGTTTTTTATTGGGGGGGGTGGGGAAGGAGGGGATCATTTACCATGATATTTGATCTTTATGGTTGTATTTGATTTGAGCAATTAGGGACTTTATTGTCCTGATGATAAACAACATAATATCCCATTTGAAGGACTATAATGTAAGAGATGTCAACTATACTCACTATTACGATGATAAGGTGACATTCTTGAAAGCTATTGTGAGTCAAACTTCACCTTTATTAAAGGAAAAAAAAGCAACGGCTATGATGTTTCACAGTCCAAACCATGAAAGAAAATGATAGAAATATATCAAGCTTCAAGATCTTATGCTTATAAATTCATCTATTATTGTCGTTTCGTGTTGTCTCCTATTTCCTTGACTATCTTCATCCCGGTAAGTAAAGCACATAAAACAAATGCAATAAAAAAAGGATATCATAGTGAAGTTGCCGAACAACTTTTCCCCATGCTTAAATTGTTTTGTCTGCCATGATTACTCCATCATGTCAGGCAGGAGAATTTGAGTATGCAGCAATCAACAGCTTTATCATGATGTCTTTTTTCACCGCGTCTGTTATATGTTTTTCTTACAAAGGTGAAGACGGTTAAAGACCTTGGGAATAATACCGATGCTGTAATGAGAGACAATCTTATAGCAATAAGATTTCTGAACTTATTATATTTTTATCATTTTGCTTTTATGGTGTGGAACATCATAGCTTGTTTTTTTTGGCTTTATTTTGAAATATAGGTGAAGTACAAGATTTTCTTTTGTATTCACATGGTTTTTAGATTGTTATCCTTGTAATAGAGATTTTAGTCAGTATGTCTAGTACCCTTCAAATGGGATATCATGCTGCTTCTCATTACGATAATAAATTTTACAAGAGCAAAGCCCCACACATGCAGATTCCACATGTGAGCAAAGAGGCAAAGTCCTCCTTTCTATTCTTAATAGAATATGATTGCCAATTCCAAATTAGAAAGGGACTTTCTCTTTTATAACCAACAGACACTGTTATAAATAGCGGTAAATAGCCCCGTAATAGCGGTACTAATAGCGTTAGCGGTCCTTTCCCGCTACGCTATCGCTCAATAGCGGTGACATATTACGGAATATGTGCTTTCCGTTCCCAAAAGCGGCCAATAGCGCGCCCTAACGGTAAATAGCGGACGATTACGTGTAAAATTCGCTTTTTGACTACTATTTAAAAGCGGTTTGGGGTTTATTTTTTTAAAATTAAACCCGACCTTTAACCACTGCATTCTATAACCTCCCGCGATTTTCAGCGTGCTCCCGCCGCGTCTCATAGCCTCTAGCACCTTATTACTTCCTCTCACCTCCTTCACCGTGAGCTTCTCTTAGGGCAGTCCTCTCACCGCTCAGCTCATCTTCTCGAAAACGACTCTTTGACTTCTTCTCCAGTCGTCTTTTGGTATTATCTGATGATTACATGTCTATTTCATGTTTAGGATCTCTTTAAATCATCAAATATGCACTTTTAGATTTTCTAGATTTTTCTTTAATCTATTTTTAGTATTTACACATCTAAATTAGACCGCTATTTAATTTTATACTTTTTACCGTTATTTTATCGCAATAGTCTCAAATAGAGAGATTAGGGTTTTGTTGAATCAAGATAGAAGGAAAAAAAAACTTAAAAGGGTTTTTTTCTTTTTTTTGTTACTCGGTAAAGGAATCGTTAGCGATCTGGATGTGGTGATTATTGTGAGCCCGATTCCCTTATACTTTGATTGCACTAGTGAATCTCTCTGCACGTTATAGCTTGGGGTTGTCTGTTTCAAAGCAAAACTACATGAAACCTTGGTGTCTTATGGTGTTTATTTTTATTTCAATTTTCCGTTGCGCATTTTTCTCTTGTTTGATTGATCTATACCAACAAAGCTAAAACCATGATGCCACACACAGAGGTTTGGAGCAGATATAGAAGATTAGAAAGCATTGTACGAGTGAATGTACAGAAGACGCAAATCTACTGTAAGTACAAACCTTAGTTGGAAAATTTCATCCAAATAGGACAAGTATGTAAATTCTCCACCTGTGCTCTCTGCTTTCTTCCCCTTCATATGTTTTTCTCTTTCCCAAACTTGCCCATCCTCATTGGTGATACTCATAATCTCATATGGATATGAGCATAAATAATAATATCATGCAAAACCATGCACTTGTTTAAGACAGCAGCAAAATCAGTTATGGAAGAGCACAAGCTCTTATCCCGTGATCAACAGCAGAGGTTCACCACCAAAGCAAAAGGAAAGCCTTTGTCCCGTTCATGGTGCTGCTCTTTAGCACCCATTTCCTATCTCCTATATAAAATAAGCTACAAGTAATATTGGTTGTGGTTTGTTTCTTGGTGATGTAAATCATATCAGACTTGAGATAGCTACCATCTTATGGTTGAGAATGGTATGTATTTGTTTGTAACCAATCAAGTTTTATGAATGTAGGTGGCTTGGATCTGTATCAGATCCATTCTTTTTCTTAAAAAGAAAGAAAAAAAAAGCTACAAAATTCTGTCAAGTCTGAGTGGAGCACATTGCAACCAAAGTTATTATGATAATGAACTTAGCTTGTATGTCAGAGGTTATGTTCTTTAAGGAGGTTTCTGCCGGTGAAACTTAGTGGGTTGAAGAAAGTTACGCTTTGGCCTAAAAGAATTGAGGCAACAGTAGATCCAATTCGCTCTCCTTTTTACCTCTATTGACACACAGACAAAATAAGTAAAAGTTTTTCGGTGTTGTCTAATCTGGTAAAATTCTGGTATTTCAGCAGTAGAGATTTCCATGTGCTATTTCTGAATTTTATTTTTCTTTTTTGCATTGTTCCAGCCAGTTTAGCAAGTTCAACCAATATGTATCATTACTTTCTCTTTTACTTTTGCATGATATTTGTGTTAGTGTTATGATAGAAACATTATTAATCCAAAATTTTATTATCCTTAACCCACTCCCAGAAGCGATCAGTATGATGTTGAGAGCAAGTAAACTGCAGGAACCGGTGAACATGAGCTCTGGCATCATTGCGCCCTAATTGCTTGAGTTTTCAAGAATGTTTCAATTTTTATTATCAGAAAAGTAAATGGGTACTCTCGTGAAATTTACCCAATAACAAATGGCTATACGTTTGCTAGGCTACTGAATTGCTGTTATTCTAACTTCGGACTTGGTGCACTTCGTGCTCTTTGAAGTGACAGTTTCAGTTGTTATTATTTTACTTCTGGTTATGCATTCTTCATTTTTTTTTCTTGATTGAAAAATTCTTTGAGAGAGAGAGAAAAAAAAAATCACAATGAGTTGCTATTTGTATTTTTTTCGCCTTAGTTATTGGGCTTTATTTCCTCTGGCACCTAAATTATGGGATATAAATATATGTTTTTCTTGGCTTCCTTATGATTACCTACCTTTTTATGCATGGAAGTGTTTGGCTATGCATGTAAATGAGATACAGATGATGGGATCCAAATATTATTTTGTATTTGTATTTGATCAAATATCATTGTCTACGTCATTGATATGTAATATATATATTGATTCATGTTAATTATCCAAGATATTTTGATGTGTATCGAAATGAAATTATATATCGAATATGTACTTACAGGGCTCCATGCGTTTTGCTGGCTTGCTATATTCTGGTCAAACTTCAGTAATATTCAGCTATGTCTGGTTATTGTCTATGTCTGTAACTTACATAAACCATTTGATCGCATGCATACTTGGGAATAGGGGTGGAGACAAATTGAATCCAATATTTTTCACGGGTTCATTTTAATTAATACATTCATTTCATTGATCCTCAGAGGCGCTCTCTCTCATAAGATTTGAAAGATCATTATCGAAAATATTATTTATACCCACTAAGTTTAACGCAAAAGAATTTCATATCACCTTCTTTCTTTCCTCGCTAGTCTATGCGGGCGTGCACTTGTATATATATACAAAACAAATCTATCCGAGGTTGGATCTGCATCTACTCCGAACAGTACACGGTCCAATAGAAGATAGCTAAGTGGGCTAAAGCCCACAAACCCAACAGAACCCACAAATTAATCATGGAAAAATGACTAAAATACCCTTCAGGGGGTGGAGGAGCAACCGATCTCTCCACGAGAAAATAATTTCTGTTCTTCTCTACATTCGTCCGAGGGCTGCGGATGCTCACGATGGCATCTTCTTCAGATTCCTCCGATGCCGAGTAATTTTCTTTTCCCATCATTTCAGTTTTGCAAATAAATCCCAAAAAATATTTCCTTTTTCAATTTGCCCCATTTTGCAGGAGAACAGCGCTGAGGAAGCAGCCGCAGAGAAAATCCCCAATAATATACCTAATTCCCCTAATCTACGCTCCAGTTCTTCCCTTAAGTACGTTTTCTTAAATAGACAGCTTTTTTATTTACAAAATAAAGTGCTTTTTGCAAATTAATCCGTTAATTGTTGTGATTTTCTTTAGTTCGAATTACTATGAGGCATAACCCTGTGGTTAGGGATCGATTGTTCTATGGAGTTTTGGCTGGTGCTTTCGCTCATGGCGTCTACGTGATGTATCCTTTTCTTAGTTTTTGTTTGGTTTTTTCAAATAAAGCTATCTTTCTGATTAGTTTTGTTTTGAAAATTTTGATTTTGATTAGGGTTACCATTTTATCTCTTGCTTATTTGTCCATCTTGCAATTTAGGACGTATCGCTTGATGTAATGTGGCCTAGGGTTTGTGAGTTTAACCTTTTGGGAGGCTAGGGTTTGCTAAAATTAGCACTTGAAAGTCATCCCAATTCTAATTTGTCAACAATTCTCATTTTGAAAGTTTAGGGTTCAAA